CCTCAGATCATTGATCCTTAGCCTATAGAACCGAGAACCCGCTAATGATGACTAGGGTCATCCTTTGGTATCTAAATAATGTAATGGGTGTTTTACGCTTTTAACTGTTGTACATTTTGAGGATACATAAATGAATGTGGTGCATGAAGAGAACACTCACAGTCATACTCGCACATCTATGACCAGTGCTGGAACTGCTATAAAAGCTTAGATCGATATTGATGTTGCCACTGCAGTCGAGATGCGTGGCCTAATTGTCAATGAAACATGAATGAGTATCTGAATCACCACGAAAGTCTTATGACCGCTGAAGATTGCAATCAATCTTATACCAGCACGGACCCATCAAAGATATCTAAACGGTTTTTGGCACACTCAACGATTCATCAATAGATTTAGAAACGCTCATGCAATTGATGCGGGTTGGTGTGAATGTGGGTGTGAGTTTGGATGTGTGTGTAACTGGGAAAGTGTAACAACCACACCCACACACAGACTCCTACCCACAACCACGCTCACACCTACACCCAGTCACACCCATCCATATCCCATTTGAAGAATATAGGAATTTTTCTTATATAGTAATAGAACATTTGCTGTTATCATAACATATCATATTAGGGATGGATCTGCTCTGTATTATATTAGAATTGGTGATTTTAATGATTTTAATGATGACAATCGATTAGATATTGCTGTCGGTGCTTACGGAAGTAACAATGTTGTTGTACATTTTGGATTTGCAGATGAAAGTTTTTTTATTACGAACAGCATATTAAACTGACTTCAGATCTAAACCAAATTCATTAACTATTAGTGATTTTAACGACGACAACTAATTAAATATTGTTATCGCCAATATTTCTTAAATACTATAGATGTTTTCTTGAAATATAATATTGAATCTTTTGCAGGCATAACAACATTTGCCATTAGCTATGGAACAAAAGTAAACACAATCTTTATTTAGTGATTTCAATAACGACCTGCAACTAGATGTTGTGGCTGGGTGTAGATGGGTGACGGATGTATTTTATCATAGCACACACACATCCTAACCAAGCTACGCAATAAGGCATCCATTTTGTTTTGAAAATATAAAAGATTTTCATTCGATTGGTCAAAATCCTTTAATCATAAGGGTGTGGAGTGTGAGTGTGTGGGTCTGGGTATGAGTGTGGATGTGGGTGTAGGTGTGGGTGTGGATGTGAGTGTGGGTGAAAAGAATAGTCAGATAATACTCACACCCTGTCCGGTAATGGCGTCATTCAGTAGGAATAAAGAAGAAGTCGGTAGAGAATGAGAAAAGGTGATACGCGGGAGTTTGAGAGACTAAGGGCCATCATGTCGCTGTCTATTACCAAGGGATAGGTGGTTGAAGTGAATCTATTTCATATGACTGTGTTTCTATTGTTAAATTCATCTTTCATTTAAGGAAACTGAAGCAATTATTTTAGAGTGTGTTAATTGAGATGCTATTATGGAAAATTGCTGAGATTCTCCTAGTTTACTTACACTAACAATAAACATTTTAGGAGTTCATTTTATCGTCAAACTAATATTTAAAATTTTCTACTATTGATTTTCAATTGTAGGTTAACATCGAAGTATCCCGTATAAACCCACAAGAAAGAAGCTGAAAGATATATTTTGATAAGAAAATTGTATTGGCTATTAAAAATTAGCCTACTAATACATTGTAGGAACTTTTCGCCTTAAAGTAGCACCGCTCATGCAAGAAGGGGTTGAAGAAACGCATTAAAGGGTGTTCAGAAAGAGGAAGGGATCAAAAACAAAGAGAAAAAAAACATATAACTATTTTTTCGAACAGTTCTGACCACTAACCTCTAAACAGAAAAGAAGCTGATTCAGCATTTATTATTAATGATGAATTGTCAGGTGATCTAGATATAAAAGGGTACTTTTTTTTTTCTTCCTTCAATTTTAGTGCACAATAGGAACCATGGCGTTGCCAAGGGAGGGGCAAATGGGCAATTGCCCATTTCATTTGAAGATTCGCCCATTGTAATTTTTATGAATAAGTTTTTGCCCATTAAAGTTTTACTTTTTCAGAAAGGTTTATTTATATTTGAACTAGAATAGTAACTTTATTTTTATTCTTTCGTCTGAATCACACATGTACTTTTTGCTTGCTCTTTATGGGAATAATTAAGAAAAGAAGAAGGAAAGAATCGCTTCTAGTATTTTAACCACGGTTGCCAGATGAAAAACTTGAAAATCATAAATTCTTGTTTTCAAAATCAGGAAAAAAAACAGAGTTTTTTCTTCTAAGTAGAAAACTAATCTGAAGGAGTAACTTCTTGCAAACTAATGGCTACCCTGTTAACATATTTTCACAAAATGCTTCACTTTTTTTTTGTTTATCAACCCGTACTTTATTTTCAAAGGTATTTTATAGTAAAGAAAGACAACACAAACATTATGTAGCTTAGAGTGAAAGATCGTGTATTGTAAGCTAAGAAAATTGATTATAGTTGGGTCAAATGAATGCTCTCACTGTCAAACCAACTAAAATAAAAATATGAGCTGCCAATATTGTACACAGACCGAGATGTTTACATTTCAAGAAATTTACAGTTTTTTATGTACCCACGCTACGAAATTTCATCAACGCTTAGTTTTCTTTTTTCATCGTGGTTGGATGGAGCACGACCATTTACATAAGAAAAAACAATATCACGCATATTAAAAAGCAAATTCTATGAAGTCTAGGACAACATTTTTGTAATTGAAAGATAATAAAAACAAAAAATTCTAATTGCTATCAAATTGCTTTTGAATATGTGAGATACTGTTTCTCCTTATGTAAATAGTTGCGTTTCATCCAACCGTGACGAAAAAAGAAAACCAAGTGTTGATGAAATTTCGTAGTGTAGGAACATGATAGACTGTTAATATCTTGAAATGTAAACACCTCAGTCTGTGTGCGCTATTGGCAGCTCATGTTTTAAACTAGTTGGTCTGTGAATAAGAGCATTCATTTCATCCGACTATGGTCAATGTCCTTAGTTCGTATTTACACGGCCTTCAATTGTTAATTAGTACAAAAGAAGATAGAAGAAGACACCTAGTATCAAATTCTTTTACGAAGCCCAAAACTCTGTTCACAAAAAATATGCGTAAACAAATCATACATGTAAACTATGCAGATCAAAAACTCTTACGAAAAATGATAAAGCTTATAGAACATAAATTCCATATTATTTTTCAACTTTTTCTTTATTAAAAATTGCTTCAATAAATGTTTGTGAGCTAAAATATGTTTACAAAATCGTTCAAAAACATAATTAGCATTCATTGTTAAGTTTAGCAACGCAAAAGTTTACTGATATATTAAAGTTTTCGTCAGTAGCTGCAGAACTCAGAAACTACAAAAGATAAAAAAGGCAAGAAGGTAGCGCAATATGGATCTATAATATTAATAAGTTATAGTCTTAATTAATTTCGCTAGTACAGCTACCATCTAAAAACTTTTGAAATTCGGCAAAGGTCAGAAAAATCAGAAGATCTGACAACTCTGCTTTTGAACTGTAAGTTTGGGTGAACATGAGTTCGATTTTATTAGGAAAACATTGGCTACGTAAAGATAGAGAAGAATAGATCAAAGAGACGAGAAACAACAGCACAGATCAGGAGAACACCCAAACATATATCTGCAGAAAAATAAAGAAAAAACTCAAGATGGGAAATGACGTAGTTCGTAGGGAAAAGTTCATGTGTGCTGCACAGATGCATATTGGAAGAATCTTCAACATTAACTTATGCATGTTCTTTTACGTTATCAGTACTTTGTTAGGCCAAAAACAGTTTTGACCTATCAATAAAAATTTTGCCCATGTTGCCCATAGGTTTTTTTCGACGCAAGAGAAGTTTGCTCATGGGCCTAAAAATCCTAGTTACGCCACTGCCCAACGACAAACAGTATCTTGTGTAAAACTCGTGTTGCTTTAACATCTACAATTTTTTTTAATCTCATTAACATGCATTTGATAGCTAGTATTGATCGATTTTTTCGCAAGTTACCGTCAAGAGACATACAGATAACTCAGTCGATTGTCATTAGCAATACATGCAGTTTTTCTAACGAATGTATTTTGGTTGGCTCATTTCATTCCCTATTTAGTACATGCTGATATATTTCGAAATTCAATGACGGACTTAAGGATGTGAATGTGGGTGGTGTAGGCAATGAGAAGACTCGCACCCATATCTACACCCACACCCTCGATTCAACGTTTAAAGTACATTCTGGATTCTTCAATATCATGAATATTGCTTGAATAACATAATCAACGAATAATATTAACTTTTTTTCTAGCTCATGTAAAAGCCCATCGTTCATAATTTTCATAACATGCACAATCTGTCATGCCTATTTGAATACTATTCATGATTATTCAAATCTTGATTATAAATATATATGTTGCAGGACAGATTGAAATTCAGTTCAGATTAAAATCATTTTGATCTGTCCTAGTTCATTTTAAAATAATTTTAATCTCCAGTAGGAAAATTTCAAAGTGTACTAGTTCAGATCGTAATGATTTTAATCTGAACTGAATTTCAATCTGTCCTGCAACATATATATAAGGATAAATAAATAAAAAATACTTACGACGGAAACAATAATAAACGTTAATATAACAGATAATTTGATCATTTCAGATTGGTTGTATATTAAACTAGTTATAGGAATTATATAAAAAATTTTCTAAGTTTCTTATCTAATCAGTGATACAAGTGAAAGATAAAAACAAAAATTAAAATGATTTACTGAAATTGATTACTTGGATTCTAGCGACATCTATACAAAAATTCTTGTATTCGACATTTCTCAATTTACATCAGTAATATTTGCTTACTTGCCCATATAAAATACTAAATGAGTCAGATCGAAACGAGTCATTTGTATGAGAAAAAATGAATGTGTCATTGTTGTGTAATATAAATGTAATGTGCGTATTGTCATCATTTTAGATATGGCATCATCTTCAATAAATCCATCAACATCATCAGATAATAATAAATTAAACCAATTATCAGAAACTCGTAATGAAGGTGAAAAAGATTTACCTTTGTCTTCTTCAAATGTCGAAGAAATAATAGATGAACCGAGTGTTAACATCATCACACGCCGTCCTCAAGGTATGTATTGTTGCTTGGATTCAAATTTTTGCTAAATTTTATTAACGAAATAATTTACTTAATATCTTGCTTGAAATAATTTTTTTAAAATCTTTTTATATATTAATTAGAACAAGATAATGAAATTTCATCAGATGTGATTCAAAAAAAAATTAGTGCACCTTTAAAAGCTGCTTGTATGATCTAGTTTGCTTTTTCATGCATAATAATTTTATCTATGTTTGTTTGTTTCTCTTAGGTATTAGCAGTACTGTTCTAGCACGTGATTCATTATTTAGAGAAAAAAGAAGTGCTGCAACTTTTGCACGACCATTTGAAGAATTTCTGATCGGACAACCAAATACAGATGTGCCGCCTGGGACATTTACAAAACCTAATGAGAATAAATCTTCATTTACGAAAAAACCTTCATAAAAGATTTATTGATGGAAGAAACAATTTTAATTTTATTGTTTGTTTATAATGAATCATTGAGAATAAATGTGTATGAAGTCATATGATTAATTTCAAATAAATTTTAATGTTACAAAAAAATGAATTGTATTTCATTTAGGAAAATTGTTCTAATTGTTCTATATTATCGAATATTCAATAAAAATATCTAAAGAACATTTTTCTTTATATCATTATCAATAAATTTATTCAATTATCGAATTATTTTTATCATATATATTTTAGTTTATTAGATATTTTCTTATTTCTAACCTTTTTGCATTTCAGTGATGAATTCATTTTTTTTTTATTTGTTACGGTAAAAATGTCCATCACTTATGCAAATAAAAGAATTATTTCATTTTATGTCATAGCCAAAATTCAAATAGAACATCTTATTTGAAAAATGTCAACGATGTTGTGACTCAATTTGAATCTTCCTCCTCGATCTGTTATTTATTGCTTAAGAGTATTGGAGGCTGCTTTTTTTTCGATAATCAATATAAAGCGAGAAAGTTCAGATTTCATTGCATCCTACGACATATGACTCATAAATAACAAAATAAAGTTAAAATAACAAAAACATACATCAGAGAAAAAACAAGCAATATTGTTTTTACTGTGATATAAAGCAATTGTTTATTTCTTACTTTTGTATACATGAATATCTATAATATCAATTTTTGTATAAGTTTACAAGCATAAAGAGGAAATAAAAACACATTATCCTCTAGATATACATTGTAGTAAAATAAAATCTAGTTTGAATTTTTTTCTAATGTATTTGATGTTGTCTGAATTTTAGTTGTTATTCATAGTTAATATGTCATACGGTACAGTGATATCTGTACTTTCCGTTTATAATTTGATTGTCGAAAAACAAAACAAGCTATAACATTTTTAAGCAAGAATAACAGCTGAATAGAAATTCAATTGAGTTGTACTACATGTTACAAACACTACTTTCGAATATTCTGCATGAATGATTATAAAATCTGGATTACAGCTATCAGTATTGAATAAGAAATATTCGAATACAATAGTTTTCAAGGTTATTTATTTATATATGTATACAGATTTCTTTTTCTAGTTGTCACTTTGATATCCATCACGCCTACATGTACTAGCTGATGCGGAATATTTGCACATCAAACCAAAACATGTATGTAGCTATTCTTGTTCTTTCATAATAAATGGGTTATAGAGTGGTTGTTTAATATCTCATTATAGATACTGCGGTGGAAAAAGAAAAGGCACAAAAATATTCATATTCTCTCGAACCATCCTGAAGCTTCGTAAATCAATTACCGCCTACCACATATTCTGTGTATATATATATTGTTGGTAACATGTATTGGCATACACTTCTCTCATTTACTTCATATTAAGTGAAAAATGTCTTATTTTCCTATAACACATTATCGATTATTCAATGATCCTCATGATCGATTCTTTGGTGATCAACTACATTTTTTTGATCCATGGCGTGATTTTGATACATTTCCAACAGCACTATCAAGTAAACCAAGTTCATTTCGATGGATCAATGAACCACGTCACATAACTCGTTCATCGTCATCATCATCATCATCATATCATTCAACATCAAGCAATACAAACAGTGGCAATACACTGATTCCTCTTACAAGTTCAATAACACCAGCCCTTTCAGAAAAATTTCGCGTTCAACTTAATGTTGCTGGATTTAAGCCAGAAACTATCAAAACAAGAGTTGAAGGTCGAAAATTATTGGTTGAAGCTAAACAAGAAGATCGTATTAGTGAAGGTGATTATAGTCTTCGTGAAATTCGAAAAACATATGAACTTCCTGAATATACTGGTTCGTACAAAAGATCGTTGTTAATAGATAATTGTAATACTTTATGATTTATTTTATATAGATTCATTTAATTTGGCTTCATATGTTACACCGGATAATATGCTTGTTGTTGAAGTACCTGTGAATAATCCACGTATTGAACGTGGTCTATCACAAGTACAAGCCGAAGCAAATACTCTGGCACAATTTGGTCAATTTCGTGATCCTATTTTTGATTATCATGGTTTTGTTGCATCAGCTGATTTTCATCCACGTATTATTGATATAGGTAATGGACAAAAACAATTAAAAATGAATGTAGCAGTTAAAAATTATCGACCGGAACAAATTAAAGTTTCAGTTAAAAATGATGAACTTATTGTACAAGCTGAACATATTTATAATGATAATAATCGTTCTGAGCGATCATTTTTAACAAAATCTATTACATTACCACCAGGTACACAAATTGAACAAGTTCGATCATTTTTAAATGCAGATGGACAATTAGAAATTGAAGCACCATTTACTGAACCTAATCAAACACGCTCAATTGAAGTTCTACGTCAATTCTAGACAATATTTATACCTACAACACATAACTAACTCCTTTTTTTCTTCTTCTTATATAATGTTATTAATTTAAGCATTAAATGAATAAAATTCTATATATTTCAAAGAAAAATAGAATTGAATAATACTAACAATAATATAGTAATAAACAACTCACCCCTTTAGGACGGGGTTACTGTTGAAGGTAATAGGAAAACTTTTTCAAGGTCTGCAGGAAGAAAGGTGATGAGTGGCTGTAAAAAATAAACGGCATCGGAGATAATAGGTTATGACCTGCACTACTATATCAATCCTAATAATATCTTAGGAGACATGCTTAAATCAGTTACGAACGGACCTAAAACTGTTGCCTATATATCGGCTTCTCGTTCCTAAGACGCAGTTTAATATACTCATGTTGAGTGATATGATACATCTACAGCTGTTTACAGTTAACTTATGATACATAAATAGATCGCATAATAATGAGATTACAGTTGACATACAGCCGTATCCGATAAAAATATCGTATTGCACATGGTACCGTATAGCTGTTCGTGGAATTACAAGGAAATGCGGTTCGTTTTTGTATATATCTTGACTGTAAACGGCTGTATACGACTGAGTTGCAATGAAAATACAGATTGGTATAACAATCAACATGAGCTACTTGACAAATATGAAATTTAGACCTTAGATGAATTATTTATAATGAAAAAAGAAACAATAACAGTTAGACAATAAACTATAAGAATAAAGACATTGATTTTAATCTAACGACATTCATGTTGCATCTTAATCAGGGTTATGTCGATTGATATGTTTTTATGTGTTTATATTTATGGGTTATTTCATATTATAAATTAGCAGGTGATCACTCTAAAGATAATGGTGACTATAGTAACTACAAAAAAAGATTGAAAATCTCTATTTGTAAAATGATATTAAACTTCATTGTTATCATTAATCGTTGATAATGCATTGTCATTTAAATGATACATAAATGTATAGTTGATTGAAATTTGACAAAACATATTTCTTAACGTAAAACAATTCCCATAACCACTTTGAATATATTCACTACAGTATAAATGATATTGAGTACAATTTCTTTTTGTTTTTGTTTTTGTTTTTTTATCTTGTTATTTTGTGGATCAAAAGAAAAAAGATTAACTACTAAGCATCTTGTGCTTCACCTTTTTCTCATAAACGTTTGCTATTTTCATAGATTTGTAACATTTGACTAGTACTGAGGTCTGTGTACAGAAAAAAACTAATTCTAGAGATGAAAGTCACAAAAGAAAAAACATTCAATTATGAGAAGTTTCTCGAATAAATCTATTGATATTACAAGTCAGCTTTGTCTGATCATATTTTGTCTATATATATATAGAGTTTGCAGATTTCGTTAAACCGGACATTGCAATATACCATTGCCAGTATTTAACTTACAATATAAAAATGGCATTATATCCATTTTATCGTTATCATTTTTTTGATGATCTATTCGACCCATTCTTTTTTCATCGACTTGATTTCTTCGATCCGTGGTATGATATTGACATGTTTCCATCATTTCGTCCTATTACATCATCATTTCGACGAGTTAAAGAACAGGAACGTATAACATATAAATCTAACAAAATATCAAATAATACGAAAAGTCTTGAACAAACACCACGAATTCCTCGATCAGAAAAATTCATTATTCAGCTTAATGTTACTGGATTCAATCCAGAAGGAATTACAACCAAAGTTGAAGGTCAAAAAGTAATTGTCGAAGCTAGACAAGAAGATCGACAGTCAAATAGCGATTATCATCTTCGAGAACTTCGAAAATCATACGAACTTCCTGAATATGCTGGTAAGTGATAAAATCATTTTCACATCAAATATTTTTGCTCATCGTTATCGTTTCGATAGATGCAACTCGTTTGACTTCATATGTAACACAAAATAACATTTTGATTATCACGATACCAATTAAAAATCCAGAAGCCGAACGTCGTCTTGAACAAGCAAGAAATGATAATAGAAGCTTAGCTCAATTTGGTGAATATCGTGATCCATTATTTGATTATGTTGGATTTTTAGGTGCGTCTAGCTTTCAGTCCCGTATTGTTGACAAAGGAAATAATCAAAAACAATTAGAAATGACTGCTGAAATGAAAAATTATCAACCACAAGAAATTAAAGTATCTGTTAAAAATAATGAAATTATCGTTCGAGGTGAACATGATTATGAAGATCAAAATCGTTCTGAACGATCATTCTTATTCAAATCAACAACATTACCACCTGGAACACAAACTGATCAAGTTCAATCCTATTTTACTGATGATGGTCAATTAAAAATTGAAGCACCATTTATTGACACGATAAAATTATAAAACTTTGATTGAAAATCGAAAGACATTGACACTAAAAGACACTTATAATATCGTATGCCATATATTTAATATTAGGTAGTTTATTGGTTAATTGCTAGGAATTAAAACGAAAAAAATCGATTCGGAAACATTTTTCTCATTTTTTGATTTACTTTTTGAAGAACTAGCTAACTCAATGCAGAGAATAGTACACAACAGAGATGTTCACAGAATGATATTTTTCTAAATTTACTCATCATTAAGATCAGCAGCAGACAGTAAGTAATTGTCATCATGAGAATCAAATGATATAGAACTCATAAATTAATCTTTTTCGTTAGTATAGTAAAAGCACATGAATACGTAATACGAATGCAACTGTTCAATGATTATTTTATTTATGTATTTATTTTTTCACTATTTTGATTCAAATTTGTGCATGTAAATGAAAACCTTGAGTATCAATTAATATGGTCTTCTGCAGTCTACTTTCGATATTTAACACTGAAAAGCTGCGTTTTTGAAGATGAAAATTTGATGTTGAAATTTGCAGAGTATACAGATCTGACCTTGTCCTGAAGTAGGACAAGGTAAAAGGAAGAATATCACTGCCTTTCAGCTATCTCGCTATATGGAGTACTGACTAGCGCCAGATTCTATATTACGATACATATTGATTCTATGAGAGACAGTTCCAGTGAAAAAAACTGTTGAGATGATTTGTAATATTACGTTCTCACTATGTTTCGAATAAAGATATTAAAAGTTTAGTGAAAACTTTTCGATTACAAGTTTTGTAAAAAGTAAAACAAATGATACAGTGTTTACAATAAGTTGATCAAAATGTTTTGAAAAATTTTCTCCATGTAATGTTATTTCTTTGCTACTAAGACTTATACGACATAACTTTTCATATAATGTTGAAATATTATCATGACAAACACCTTGGCATGTTTTTTTTAAAGCCACTCATATCATCTGCAACTATTATTCACAAAATAGAACGTGAAGACTGATAGATAAGTGCATACTTTATTACCAAAAAAAAAAACTTGGTTGAAAAACGCCGTATCGGATACATGCCGCTTCAGAATTTCGATATAGCAAATATTGTTTCATATAAACGAAAAAGAACGAAGTTAAAATATTTTAAACTAGGTAAAGAACTATCAGTATTCTGGTAACACTCAATTAAATTTCGCTTTATAACATTCTTTATCTTTTTCGCATTCGTATCAATGTTATAAAACAATGTTGCTGTGAAATCAATTCGTTTCTCGATGTTATCAGAGATATAAATGGAAAAAATAATAAGAAAAACAAAATTTTCTAACGGGTACATGAAGATATGAAGCACATTCAGTTATTACACACAATCGAAACAATCTTCATCTGTCAACAGAAAAGAAAAAGCCACATAGACAGACAGAGAGAGAAAGTGAGAACAGAAAAGAAAAAAAAACGACAGCAAAAGAACATCCTAGAATAGCAACGGCCGAACAAGAGTATTCGAGAACATTCGTGAAAATGCTATAATGCTCTACATCACTGCACTCCTTCTACATATATATATGTGAGCATTTGTGTCTACAGCATACATTTGAATAATCAATTGCGACTAAATAATTCTCTCAACGCGACTACAGTTACAATTATTATTTCAATATAACAATGTCATTCTTTCCAATTCATCGTTATCGTGTTCATGATGATCCATTTGATCGTTTCTTTGGTGATCAACTTGATTTATTTGATCCATGGCGTGATCTTGATACATTTCCAACAGCTCTTGCTATTCGACCAAATGCTTTTCGATGGATCAATGAGCCTTTACGATTAACACATCATCATCATGGTGCTCAGCCAACATCATCTAGACCACATCCAGAAAAATTTCGTGTTCAACTTAATGTTGCTGGATT